GAAAAGAAACACAAAAATTGATCCGCGCGGTATGGGGCCGAACACGTGATCGGGTGGACTTCGAGGACGAGGGAAGGGCCGACGAGGAGGAGGAGAGGAGGAGGAGGAGGAGGAAGGAGGAGGAGGAGGAAGGAGGAGGAGGAGGCGGTGGGGGAGGAAGAGGAGGAGGAGGAGGAGAGGAGGAAAGACGAGGAGGAGGAGGAGGAGGAAAGATGAGGAGGAAGGAGGAGGAGGAGGAGGAGAGAAGGAGGAGGAGGAGAGAAGAAGGAGGAGGAGGAAAGACGGGGGTTGTTTGATTTCGCAACTAGGCTTTCTGTATATCATTCGCACTCAAACTCCTTGCAAATCAATCAATCAATCAATCAATCAATCAATCAATCAATCAATCAATCAATCAATCAATCAATCAATCAATCGGAAAAAAAAAAGTTACTGTTAGCCAATCGAATCGAGAGAGGTGCAGACTTCAGTACAACCCCCTCCCACAGTTGAGCACGTGGCTCCCGCATTGGTAGAGCCCCCTCGCACATTTGAGAGCATAGAGTCACAGAGAGCATCGACGACGATGATTGGAGGGAGCCTTGCCGCTGCAACGTCGTCCGCCACACTTCGACCCACGTTATTCTATACTGCTCCTCCGCTGCCCATCTTAAAGCATTCTGTTGTGGTGCGTGGACCCGGATTGACTATCCCATTGCATTCATCTTCTCGTGCGTCCACGATTACAGTTGGACGATTATCATCATCCACGACCAGTGCAGCTGCACGTTCACACGATGGCAGTGGTGATTCATCGCTGCCTCGACTTGCTTGCGATCATTGACAGCCTTTGCGGAGGGGATCGGTTGATTTATCTGCGCTTCCTCCACTGCCCGCCCAAGTGTCATCTGTCATTGTTGACAACACCGCGACGAGAGGGAAGAAGAGGAAGATCATTGATACATGTACAGTAGAGCATTCACGAGCACAGAGACCACCAGGGCGAGGTAGACCACGCAGGCGCCCCCCAGGCGGTCGATTAGGCAGAGGTAGAGGGAGGTTGGGTGTCGCTGGAGCAACGGAGAGGYTGTTGGGTTCATTAGGTGCCATAGGTGGAGGTTCGCCATCACCCATATCCGCAGAYGGAGTGAGGACTCGATCCCGTGCTATTGTGGGGAAGAGGACGCGTGTTCATGTTGAGGATGATGACGACACCGATGAGCAGGCCAGCGGTGACGGGTCTGAGAGCGAGTACGAGGCTCCACCGCAACCCTCATGTGATGATGACGACGATGACGCCGGAGGGGACGATGATATTGCTACGGTAGAGGACGAGACACTGGTTGATAGGTGCTGATGTATTTTGATTCTTTTTGTG